CGCTAGGGCTCGCCATGGGGCGGAGCCCTAGCAGGGCGGCGGGACGACATGGAAATGTGCATATATATGTGTGTGTGTGTGTGTGTGTGTGTGGCACCAGCCGTGGCCTGTTGGTAAAACAGCCTCTTTGAATGTTGCAAGTCCTCTCAAGTCACAAGTTCGAATACCATCTGGCTAATTTATCGGTAGTGAGGGCGGTCCTCGAATAGTTGGGCACATGAGGGTGGTTGGGGGCTCATATAGTAGTCTTCGGTTTTTTTTTTAATATATATATATGTGTGTGTGTGTGTGCGCGCGCGCGCGCTGCCAGGTTGAGGGTTTTAATTCCCTCTGGCACAGTTGGCCTTAAGGAGGTGGTACTCGAATAGTTAGGCATATTAGGAGTAGTTGGAGGCTCGTATAAGTCTCTGACCATTGATTATATATATATATATATATATATTTATCTATCTGTGTGTGTGTGTACAGAGAGAGAGAGAGATTTGATTTTAAGCAATCCAACTGCATTATGGATGACCGGGGCATCCTTTCTTCAGGCAACCTATGCAATGTTTTAGGGAAATTTTGCATGCATACCACACCAATCATATGTATTTACATACGAGAGAAGAGATTTGGAGATTTGATTTTAGGCAATGATATTATGGATGATCGAGAGATCCTTTCTACAGGCAATCATGCAGTGCCGCCCATCATTTTTTCAGGAAAATTTACATGCAGCAATTTTTATGTATTTACCTGAAAAGAAAGAGAGAGATTTGACTTGGGCAACAGCATCATTCATCATGGATGTCCGTGGATCCTCTCTTCAGGCAATCTTTGCAGTGCCACCCATCTTTTTTCTTAGAGAAATTTACATTGCAAACAATTCTCATGTATTAACGTATCGATTATTCAGTCATTATTTTTTATGAGATTTCCTAACTTGATTTGATGGTTGAGTTGTGATTGGGCTCTCATCATTATCATCCATATATTTGTGTGTGTGTCTCTTTCTCTATATATATATATATAGAGAGAGAGAGAGAGAGCGACTCATGGATGGCTGCGGGATTCTCTCTGTTCAGGCAACAGATGCGGTGCCATCTATAAATTCATACCGCACAAATTATAATGTATTTACGTAGAAAAGAGTGCATCATGGGTAGTCGACAGATCCTCTCTTCAAGCAACTGATGCAGTGCCGCCAATCTCTTTTTTGGGGAAGATTTACATACCAACACATGTAGTGCCACCCATCAATTGTTTTAGGGAAATTTACGTACATTACATGCCACACAATTTCATATCAAAATTTATGTCAATATTGTTGGGGAGGCCTCCTAATTAGATTTGGTTGGTTGTGAATTGTTATCGGGTTACTCATCATCATCCACACACACACACACACACACACACAGATCTGATGTTCGGCAAATGCTTCATGGATTGCTGGGGATCCTCTATTTAGGCAAACGATTCAATGCCACCCCTCTATTTTTAGAGAAATTTACATGCATAGCATACAATTCTTATGTATTAACATATCATTTTTTTGTCATTATTTTTAATGAGGCCTCCTGATTAAGTTTATTCTATGTGAACGGTGATTGGGCGACTGCTCAGTTTGGAAACTGTATTGTTCATATTTACACAATTTCCAAAGTGTTGTTTTTCTTATAAATTGTTGCATGTAGGGTTGTAAACGAGCTGAGCTTGAAGCGAGCTCGATCTTTGACTCATGTTCAGTTCATTCGAAATTAACTCGTGTTCGAAATGGCTCGTGAACAGTGTGTTCATGTTCGGCTCGAAAAATGTATTCATGTTTGTGTTCAGCTTGAAATTGGCGAGATTTTACTTCCAAAAAACTTCAAAAACTAGGTTTCATTCAAAAAATCTAAATGAAATTTAAGAAAATTAAAGCTAAGAGGCGAACCGGAAGAAAATATGAAATATTAGAGAAAAGATACTCAAAGATAACACCTCGGTAGCCAAACAAGCAACCAAGCAAGAATACCGAGCAATCGAGGCAATGCTAATGCTGACTGGCCGAGAAAAAATAGAAGTAGAGATTAGAAAACGAACATAAATGACAAACCGTAAGCTCTCGCAGCCGAAAGCTTTTCGTGATTTGGAGAGGAGAAGGGGAAGACTCAGAAGAGGGAGAGGGGGTCGAACCCGAAAGCTTTCGAAAGGGGAAGGGGAGGTTGGTTGGGTTAGGGTTTTTTTTTCATTTACTGATTTTATTTCACTTGCACAGGATAATATATGTTACTGATATGCTAGAATGTTACTGGCTGGGCAATGATTTTTTTGTTGGTCGGTAATGAGTAGTATTTTTAAAAAATTTAATTAACTACAAGGCTACAAAGATTTATAAGCAATGCGTGGGACTCTTTGCTTAGGCAACCAATGCGGTGCCACCCATCTAATGTTTGTTGTTATTTTTGTGTGGTCCTCGTAACTTTCTTCATATCAGATCTTACTCATTTTGATAGAGAATATTTGTGTTTGAATTGCTAGTATGTTACCATATGGGCAACGATGTTAATGTTGCACAGCTCTTGCAAACCATTTATTTGTTTTTTGTTGTGTTTTGTTATGCATGAGTCACAGACCAATTTCGAGCTGGATTGGTTCCAAATAATTAGATTTGAGCCAGTTTTTTTTTTTAAATTTGAGCTGAATCAAACTGATTTCTAGCTGAAATGGATCAAATTAATTAAATTTGAGTCAGTCTGTTTCGATTTCGAGCTGGATTGATCTCGATTCAATTTTATGCCCGAATATAGCGAGCCACAAGCCAATTTTAAGCCATATTAAATCTATTCGAGCTGATGCCTGCTCGGTTCGAACTCAGACGCTTACAGCCCTTAGTGCAGCACGGTTGAGAATCACATGCAATGGAAGTATCCTGCATTATATCCGCTCTGAATAGATGGCAAGTTGTGATGTGGTGCACTTGGGGTAATGTAAGATATTTAGGCGTCCAGTTTTATTGTCTGTCGTTGTTTGGGTGTTTGTTATTTGGGGCTCTGAAAATTCCGGCTCAGCTCTATTATGACAGAGTTTTGAATTTCTTATGGGTCAAACTTTCATGAGACGCCAGATATTTTGTTAATATACTGAAAAATTTGCTCTTATTTTATGTGAACCTTAAGATCTAGTTTCAGATTTTTTTTTTTTAAAGTACAGGCTCTAATGAGATAATTACTTCTTTTAATTGCTCTTATTTTATGATGATCTTCTTTTCCAACAAACAAGGAGCCCTAATCTATGGGTTAGCGACTTCAGTTTGTCACCTAATGACTGGAGCAACTCTTCTCGAGGACATGTCCTGAATCCAGATACCAAAGTCCTTTTCATTATCTCAAGCAAACAGTACAGCGCTCATTTTCATTTCCAGCCACCTCAAAACTGGCTCAATGGTTTTCCTGCTGCTTTAGCCCGCCAGAACCAAATTGTAACGTCATATTCTCAGCTCTCATATCGGTAATTTTATTTTGAATAGATTTATACTTGAATTAATTCAACTCACTGTTCAATGCGTGGAATTTTTACACAAGCATCAATGAGTCAGGCCATAACGTTCAAAATATAGCATTACCGAAGAACATCTCTGACCCTTCCTTGTTGTTATGGGTGAAGCCTTCCTACAGGCCATAATGGTTACAGGAGTCTATCCAACTCAATTTAGAGACCTCTCCACTTGTTTGCTAAGCAAGGATGGCCTATGGAGAACAATTATAGTGGCTGAGGATTTTGAAAGGAGGGCAAAGGCTTCACTTTACAGAAGCAAGGATTTTGTGCAGTGGACAAGAGCCGAGCAACTATTGTTTTCAGCTGATTCATCGCCCATGATAGAATGCATTGACTTCTTCCCAGTGTCTTTGAGGATTGGACAGTTCTAGCACGGGCTCATAGGAAGTCAAGAACTTGCTGAAGATGAGTGTGGTTGAGAATTCGCATGATTTCCCGAGAATGTTGTTGAAGACTATCATCGAATGTGGCCAAGATATGATTATGGGAAGTTCAATGCATCATAGACATTCTTTGACCTTTTCATGCAACAAAAAATATCTTCATTGTGGCCTGAACTTCACAAGCAAGCATTTGGAGGCTTTGTGGGCATATGGATATAAAAATAGGGGAAGATACCTCTATGGACTTCTGGTGAGTGTTAATTTCTCATCATTCTTATAATGATCTTATCAAAATCATTTTTTTTTTCTACATTTATGTTTTGAGACAGATTGATCATTCAGTCATTGTGAGCTATGGCAGTGGAGGAAGAACCTGCATCACCTCTAGAGTATATCTCAAGTTGCTACTTTTAGGAGGCACATGTTCATGTGTTCAACAATGGGTTTGAAACAATGAAGATAAGGAGCTGCAGGCTTGGGAGATGGGGGAAAGCTCGGATTAATTAAAATAAAAACCTTTAAATATTTGCTTTTTAGTTCTATCTATTTGATCGGGCTTTTGTTCTACGTTGCTGTTGTTTCAGACTTATATACTATATAAATTTATTCATTGTAATACACATATTTAACTCGTAAACTTCAGTTTTTACATGCAAACATGAAAATGCATATTTCCTATTTTTAAGTTAAATTGTGGTACTTTTGATGTGATATGAAAGATTTGGGTGGTTTACATGTAAAAAATTATCGTTTAGCTGTTGGATATGTAAATTGGATGGTATGTAATTGTCTCTTGCTGTTGGACTTGAACAAGACAAGTTTGCTTGAAGTACTTCTTGATTCCTAGATGCTCTTTTTTCTCAGTCATGAAGAACAGGCTGATATAGACGTGTTATTGGAGCTTCCACAGCTCGAAAAGGCTGAGCTCGCTCACCATTAGTGTAAACTCGACAATGTGCAGATAGCCTGCGATGAAATAAATGCTTCGGTTCCACGAAGCATATGACCTCTTTGGCCTGCTTGTTTTGGCTTCTCATGACCCCGAGGAGCACACTGCAGTTTTCTTCAGAGTATTCAAGACCAGTATTGATTACGCTGTTCTTATGTCCTCTGATCAAATAAAGTATGTTTTTTTACTTTAATGAAATTTGGCTCTTTACAATCATTGTTTTGCTTTTGGGGCATTTACGTACATATCACCTAATTCCTATGTATTTACATGTCTAACATCTAAAAATTGCTTTTTTAAGCATTTATACCACCCAAATCTTTCCTATAACATAAAAAATACGACCATTTAAATTTTTGAAAAGCAAAATATGCTTTTTCATGCATGGGGAAAGGTGTGCATCTATGTAAAATTTGAAGTTTATGTGTTAGATATGCAAATACCTAGGAATTTAATGATAAACATGTAAATCTTCCTTTTCATGCAACAAAAAATATCTTCATTGTGGCCTGAACTTCACAAGCAAGCATTTGGAGGCTTTGTGGGCATATGGATATAAAAATAGGGGAAGATACCTCTATGGACTTCTGGTGAGTGTTAATTTCTCATCATTCTTATAATGATCTTATCAAAATCATTTTTTTTTTCTACATTTATGTTTTGAGACAGATTGATCATTCAGTCATTGTGAGCTATGGCAGTGGAGGAAGAACCTGCATCACCTCTAGAGTATATCTCAAGTTGCTACTTTTAGGAGGCACATGTTCATGTGTTCAACAATGGGTCTGAAACAATGAAGATAAGGAGCTGCAGGCTTGGGAGATGGGGGAAAGCTCGGATTAATTAAAATAAAAACCTTTAAATATTTGCTTTTTAGTTCTATCTATTTGATCGGGCTTTTGTTCTACGTTGCTGTTGTTTCAGACTTATATACTATATAAATTTATTCATTGTAATACTTGATATAAGATGGCATTTGAAATAAGCTATATAGCGTTCAAATTGAAAATTGATTCATATAATCCTTGATTTTGTAATGCATTTTTTCTTTACATGTCTGATAAACTTATACAAGTGAATAAATAAGGGCCAGCTGGGGGTTCTCACTATAAGTTAGTCTTTTAATTTCGGTCAGGTGAACATATGGAGATGTCTCTGTCCAATAGTACTAAGTTCTACGAAGGGAATGGCAAGAGTCATTACATAGGAAGAGTTTGGGTGGGTGTCTCTCATGGAGAGTGGATTGATCCTAAGATTAAGGTTCAATTGAGCAATCTGGATCCATGAAAGTGAAGATTTGGAGCCTAGCTTTGATGCCCCAGACATATCGGGTATGATATAAGATACCAGGTAACTATAAACTGGTTAGTCGTTAAGCCAAGATTGTCCGGCTAAACACAAACAAAATTGGTCGGTCATAATGCCAAGATTGGGTTGTAATGCCAAGATTGTCTGGTTGGACCAACAAATAAAACAAATAAATCATGAAGCCAAGGTCATCTGGCTAGACCAACAAACAAAATTAATTGTTCGTGATTGTCACGTTAAGATTGTCCAGTCGAGCCGACAAGTAAAATTTGGTCGATCGGACATCTGGTCGAAGCTTTACTGATATGCGCAAATTCTTCTCTTCTTCGGAAATGGTTCCCTGATTGGCAAAGATAAGTTTTGTGAGGGGCAAAAGGGCAAATCATGACAGAAGATTAGTCAAAGGTTAACTGATTATCACGCTACCAAGAAAAAAAACGCCTACCCACCAATAAGCATGATATAATAAATAATTGGTAAGACAAAGAAAAATAATTAGAATGAGCATGAAGCCAAGGTGCGAACATGAAGTGAACTTTTCATTTCTATAAATAAAAGAAATTACCTTGGCATGAACATAAAAAGAAAATGACTGCTGATTCGCTGTATAGATTTTTTATTTTTGCCGGCCGATTGAGGTCAGGCAAAATAAGTTTTATTCCTAAGTTGACCTACTAACTACGTACGAAGGACATGCTACTCCAATGTTCCCCTAAGCTCAACTACTTCTTCAACTGCTCTTCCCTTTGTTTGAACTGTTGTTGCTGTTGCATTAAGCTGGCGAAGAGCCGATCCTTCAACTGCTCTTCCCTTTGTTTGAACTGTTGTTGCATTAAGCTGGCGAAGAGCCGATCGTCACAAGCCCTATGGAGCTCATTGGTCTGGCGGGCACCTTCAGGGAGTTTGCCTTTGTCATAAAAGCAAGTCCTAAGGAGTCCAGATGCGACAAAGTGGCAAGCTCAAGAAGACTCTCATAAGAAAGTTTCTAGAGTGCCACCGAAAAAGCCGAAGACCATGTCATTTTTGCCAAAAGAGGCAACATATGCTGAATATCGGCCTACAAGGAATGTCGATCCTTGAGACATCCAGTAAGTTGAACCACTCATCATCACTCATCTATAGTCATCCCTCGCCTCCTTCAAGCGAGTGTCGGGTAGGGTCCTCCTGTTTTCTCTTAACGAGGGAAGGGTTGGAATGTCAGCACCCCCCACCGACTCCTTCCCTTTTCGATTAACGGTTTCTCCCTCCAAAGACGACAAATATTCGAAGTTAGGGGAAGAAGCAGAGCCTCCCGAAGTGGAATCGATCGAGGTGAGAGGAGACTCATCAGCTTTGGCCTTAGCAACCTACGTCAAATGAGTAGCAGCGAGCTAGGCAGGCAGCGGAGAAGCGACGATCGGTTCACCTGGTGCAATGGAGGAATGATCTATAGCAACAAACCCTCTTTGATTTTCCTCGGAGCCCGTTCTCACCCCTTCGCTTTGTCGTGCAATAACCGAAGGAGGTCGTGCAATTATGGTTAACTCACCAGTCATCGTTGTCAAGGACGCACATCAAAAATTGTACCTGTCATAAAGGTTCAACTTTTGGCACTATTTTTCCTCCGCTGCTTTTGCTCTGGCAGCTTCATTGGTGTCCGAAGTTCTCTAATCACCTGGGGGCATGCTCTCTTCAATTACTTGGTTCACCATCCTTTCTGTGGTATACTGAGGGACCGACGTTGGATTCCCTTCCAACACCTTCTAGATGGTCTGCAGGTTGGTCAATAAAGCCCTCATATTGCTACTTGCCACCTTCTGCAGGAGAGTGATAATCTCTTGGTCACCAGATGTAGAACCGACTAAGAATATTATACTATTAATTATTATTATAATTATTCTTTGTCTATATTTGATTGTTGCGTTACTCACCGTTTAGTGAGATGTCTGTTATTATTTTGTAGTTTTCAAACTAGATATTTGGTTTCAAGTATGAAAAACACTAGCAACATTGGTTTTGTTATAAACAAAACTATATTACAAGGGCATAAAAGTCATTTGTTCAGAAACAACTGCAATTCATCTGTTGCAAAACTATAAAAAACAGACAGTCAGCTTATGCGTAACAACTTCCTGACACAGCTACCGTACAACAACCTCCTAACATAGCTGCCGCTCAACAGTTTTTTATTATTTTGCAACTGCCTCAAGTACTAAATATATTAACGGTTCACTAAACTTGAATTTGTTTTTTTTAATGCCAAATGCTTAGCTTTAGACCTCATTTTGCTTCTTGTAGAAGAAATAATTTTTTTTTTATAACTTTTGTTCATTAAAAATAAGGGGCATTTATAAACGTACCACCCAATTCTTATGTATTTATATATCTAACAATGTAAATTCTGTTTTTTATATTTATATCACTTAATTTTTCATATCAAATAAAAAATCCTAATATTTAAATTCTTAAAAAGTGATGTACTCATTCTAATGCATCTATATGTTGGAATTTTTGTAAGAATTGAAGTTTACGATTAGATTCTTAAATAAGAATTAAGTGATATATATATATGTATGTAAATCTTTCTGAAAGTCGTGCTTCGAGAGAGTTCCTGCTGCTATCGTCTTCTTCTTCTTCCAGACTATCGATCCAAACCACTCCAATGGTCACTCACACACACAGAGAGAGAGAGAGAGAGAGAGAGAGAGGGAGAGAGATTTGAGATTTGATTTGCAGGGCTTGTTTAGGTATGCTGGCGTAAACTCTGGAATGATCCGAATTTGCGTCCGGTGTCCCGACCGAATAATTTTTCCTTCTACATACTCTTCCTTTCCCAGTTTCGTTCAAAGACCGTTCCCCTCTCTGCACAAAACCCTCGCTTATGTCCCTTATTTTATCGGTTTCGTTAAAATCCATACCTTCCGAATAACCTCTATATATAGTCGCGATTAGGTTACAGGGCGGAGATAACCCCCAATACCCTCTGAATACGTACGCAGTGCGTGGGTCTTACGTACGCAGATATTCCTCCCCTAAATCCTAAAATCCTAAACCCTAAATCCTAGATTTGATGGAGTAGCAATTGCATTATGGATGAGCGGGGGATCCTCACTTCAGATAACCTATGCAGTGCTACATATTTAGCACTCAATTCTTACACGAGAGAGAGAGATAGAGAGAGATATTGCAAGATTTAAGGTTAGACAATTGCATCATGGATGGCCGAGGGATCCTCTTTTCAGGCAACAGACGCAATGCCGCCCCATAATTTTTTTAGGGAAATTGACAGGAATACCACACAATTCTTATCAATCTAGATTTAGAAGAAAGAGAGAGATTTAGAGATTTGATGTTAGGGAATGCCATCATGGATGGCTGGGGGATACTATTTTTAGAATCAATGCAGGGCAATTGCATCATGGATGGCTATGGATTTTCTATTCTGGGAAATTTGCATACAGGGCACACAATTCTTATGTAATAGCGTATCCCTTTTTTATCTCCTTATTTCTAACTAGATTTGTTGGTTGTGAGTTGTGATTGAATACTCATCATAATAATCACCCTCAACATTGATGGAGAGAAAGATCAGGTGTAACGCAGCTACATAATAGATTGTTCAGGGATCCTCTCTTCAGGTAACCGATGCAGTGCCATCCATCATATTTTCATGGAAATTTACATACAACACAATTCTTATTTATTATACATACAATATATATATATATATATATATATATATATATACACCACACATCAATTCTTTAAGAGAAGTTTACATACTATCACACATTTCTTTTGTTTTAAGATATCAAAATTTTTATGTCATTATCACTGACGAAGCCTCCTAACTAATTTTGATCAGGTTACTCATCATCATCCATATATAATTATGGTTGGAATTATTGTCATTGGGCTACTCATCATCATCATACACACACACCCCCACATAGATATACATAGAGAGAGAGAGAGAGAGATGTTTTACAACTGCATCATGGATGGTCGAGATCCTTTCTTTAGGCAATAGTTTTTTTAGAAAAATTCACGTACATACCACACAATTCTCATGTATTAACATATCAATTTTCTCATGTATTAACATCAAGTATTATTGATGTGTTATTGTGTTATTATAATACCGGGAATATTCCCATAACACAATAACACCTGAATAACACACAATAACATCTGAATAACACGAGGGGAATATTCTCTTGTGTTACCGGGCTGATCACCTCCACGGCGTAATTTCATTACGTGCGGAGTCCTGATGTAATATTTTTTCCATTTTTTATAACGCCTCCTAACTAAATGTGTGTGCGTGTGTGTGTTATTTTTTTAAGAGAGACCTTCAGAGATTTGATGCAATTACATATGTGAAAGAGAGACCTTCAGAGATTTGATGCGAGGCATTTGCGTCATGGATGGCCGAGAGATACTTGTGTGTGTGTGTGTGTTATTTTTTTCAGGAAATTTACAAACGTAGCACAATTTTTATGCAATTACATATGTGAAAGAGAGACCTTCAGAGATTTGATGCGAGGCATTTGCGTCATGGATGGCCGACAGATACTCTCTTCAGGCAACCGATGCATTGTCTTGTAGGGGAATTTGCATACATACCACTTAATTCTTATGTTAATTTTTTTGTTTTAATCAAGTCATGCACCCTTATAAGAGGCAATGACGATGAGTTT